GCTATTGTTTTCGACGAACAAAAATGGGGTGGTTAGTTTATTCTAATATATCGTATGTTCGTATGGGGGATGTTTTTTTCTTCTTTCTCTTCTTTTTTGGCTGTCTTTTGGATTTTGGATTTGGCTTTGGTGTTCCGGTGGAAGGGTGGGTGGGAAAGATGGTTAAAACGTACACATCCGTAGACTTGTAGATACTCTATACATCAAATGAAATTAGTAACATGTCACTGACGAGGTGATTCATCCCAATTGGGCATTTTAAGGATGAAAGATGGGAGCGAAGAGACAAGAACAAACCTGATGTGGGAGGACAAGGGAAAGTTTTATTTTGTCGGCGACGGCATCGGCATAGCCTCTCCGCTGGAGGGGGGCTCTGAATGCAGCGGGGCTTGCCCGGAGAGCAGCCCGTGCGAATCGAAAGGAGTTCATTGTGCAATTGTGCAAATTGGGGGGGGGGGGGGGGGGGGATGAGGAGTGGGAGGTGGAGAGGCCGTGTCTTTGCACAGGAAGCAGAAGTTGAGGTCGTTGGGAAAGCTGGGCCGGGAACAGAGGCTCGGGATAGGTGGACGAATGTGGCTAGCGCAACGTCACACGTGACTCACGGACGTCCATTGGACCAAAGGTTGGCGGAGGGTTGTTGAATCTGATGTTGGATAGTAGCATGGAATTGTGGAATATATGAAAAGGTGGTAGATGGATTTTTATGTCAGGATGTTACGCGAAGAAGATAATTGAGACTTATTTGAGATATCAATCGAATTATATACGGGGCATTTGCACACAATAGACAGGTAATACATAGTAGTATGAAATTATCGAACATGAGAATCTCCTGAACAAACCCTCGTTGCTGGTAGTTTTACGTTACAAGCTACTCAAACAATTAAACCAAATTATGCTTCTGGCATCTACTAAGCACGGTGCAATGGCGACCGTTGAATTGCTGTAAATGTAGTAAATTGTTTACTTGTTGGCAAAATCTCGAACTCTGAGCCGGATAAATACTTCAACCCACGTGACTAAGCGAGATGGGATTCCCACACAAACATCGCTCCAGCCCTAAGCGAGCACATCTTCAGGTATTGGCAGTTCAACCTCCGTCAAACACAGCTTCGACTCCAACAGCCCCTTCCGTTGCGACAATACCGTCAAAATGGCCAGTACGTATCATCAGCCCATCTGTACCTATTTGGATTATGCGCTTCCTGGCAATACCATTGGAGTTCTGAGCCCATTTATACTGATCACTTCACACCAAAAACAGAGTCAAAGAACAGCTCGCAGCACACGTTGAACAAGAAGGCCCACCGAAACGGGTATGTGAACTCTTTAGCTTCCTAGTCTTCTAGATCTGTTTCGCGCCAGATGTTTTGCTCCCGAATCTCGAGAGAATCCCGAGCTACGGAGCCCCTTACAGACTAATCTCTACTCGGCCCTCCTCCCCAGGCGAACAAATTGCTAATTTCTGGACTTTTTTCTGTCTACAGGATCAAAAAGCCAAAGACTCACCGCTATCCTTCCCTCAAGGGCACAGATCCTAAGTTCCGACGGAACCATAGACATGCTCTGCACGGTACTATGAAGGCACTGGTACGGTTCTTATTTTCATATAATATCCCACGCTTCAAGATCGAAAACACTGAATACCCCGACCCAACCTTGGAAGACATATACTAACAGCCCATTGCAGAAGGAGGTGAAGGAGGGCAAAAGGGAATCCGCATAAATGACTTCTGTTTTGTTTTAATTTTTCAGATCACGGTCTAGTTATAATTCCATGTGTCATGTTGATAGATCTTTTAGCCTGGCTTTCGTCGAAAATCGGAGAATCCTTGAAAAAAAAAAAGAAGCTCTAAGCCTTGCTGAGCAATTTTTCTATTACTGGGTTCGCTATATTTTCTGTCCACAAAAGCAGACGATTTATGTCGAATGGGAAGTGTTTTGCCTCATTCCATGTCATATTGAGAGGCATGTGGCAGTTGGAGGGACATATTCTCCTCAAATTCGGCTGCAGGTAGAATGGATTTCTTCACAATACCACAGGATCGAAACATTTGCCGTTGTTCTACACCCGATTTTCCTTTTTTTTTTGAATCGCATTTCACATTATGACCAAAACTTGGACTTGAACTGTATTTTCTCTTTCTTCCTCTTTTTTTGATTGCCCATTAGCAAGGTCAAGAGAGCCCCACAAACCGTAATCTTTCTCTTTTTTTTTTCTTTTTTTTCTGAATGGTCCGCGTCCTCCAGTGGGACAAAAAACAGGCATATGTGTGTACAGCAGTGGATTTTTTCCCATGTCCAATTGCTGAAGGATTATTTTATCTTTTCGTGCCAATATCGAATTCCCCTGCCGTCTAATTACCAAACACCTTTTTCCTTGCTCTCCATGGTGCGAAGGTGCATGGACAGATGTGCTACATATATATAATCCACGGTACTATTGCGCTTGGATTATTATTATTTTCTATTTTTATTTATTTATTTATTTTTTTGATACTCTTTACATAGCAATTTTACTCGCGCTATTGCCCTATTACCAGATAATAATGTTTGTTTAAACCTTGAACCAATCCGGGTTGATGTATGGTTTTTGGATTCATAGTCAATCGATTTATGGGAACTTGGCTGTCGTTTTTGGTATGGGTCATTAAAAGTACTCTAATGAAGATAAGGTAACTGCGACGAGTATCGTCTAAAAGTCTCAGACTTTGAAGGGAAAATAAAAAAATTAAATAAAAAACATACGAAAGCCCGGATTCGCTGGTGGTCACCCACCCAACTACTAACAGGCCGGCGAGTGGCTTAAGTATGGCTGAGCGGACGGGAAGCCCTGTATTCCACTCCCTATGTTCGTATGTGATAGGAAAGGGAGTCAAAAGGCTTGATCAATCAAATCATTCAATCAGCCAGAAACTTGTTGATGCAGCCGCAGAAGCACCTATCTTGAAATAATAGTTTCTTGTTGTCTGTAATTGAAACAAGTTTCTTCTATATTACTAGTTAATGAGAAATTGAAATTAACATTATATAATGATCATAAAAGCCTCTATCTTAGATCAATAGGATTGTATCTTGATAGAGCTCTTCAAGTATTAGTAGTGAGAAGGTTTCTTCACACTGCTTCTGAAAATAGACCATAAATGCATGACATCTATAGTAGGCATGTACTTTGACACTACCACGCCCTTCGCTAGAGGGTAGAATGGAGGATGGATTGAAACGGTCGTGCAATCAATAGTACAATACAATACCATGGAGCGGCCGGACTCAAACAGAGCCTATGCTATCCACATTTCTGACAGCAACTACTGTACAACGAGAGTTAAGAACAGAAAGAGAAAGCGAGATGTATAGTAGAATGGAACCAACTAACAGGAGAATCAAAAAATTTCTATGCTGGGCATCAAACATGATTCATACTACTTTTATATGAGAAGCATTTTTATATATACTAAGCATCACTGCACAACAATACTACCTACAGTATTAAAACAAATCTTGCTCTTTTCGTGGACACCTGTAGCAGCATAGAATATCTAGTACGCTCAACTGTCCCTTAGCAGATATATTAAGTGAGACGTTCTAATCTCATTGTCACGTAATGATTAAGTGATTAACAAGAGAAAGAAATGCGATAGAACTAGATTTTTCTGAACCTTTTGATCAAGTAGGAAGCTCAATTCTACCCCAATTATTTTCTCGAAAGCCTCATTGTCTTCACCTGACTCTTTCCTGCGAGCTCGTATGTTAACCATCAGGGTGTATGGAGACGGAGACATCTACGTACTCTCCGTATTTTATCAAGGTGACCATGGAGTATCTTGATAACATAGAATACGGAGTACGTTGGCTAGAGAGCACGAATCTTTATTTTTCTTGTCCCGTGTATGCCCGTAGCCACGAAGTCTTTTAATGAGTCTGATTAAGCTGCCGCCACTCAACAGCCCATCAACTAATCACGGAATCAAGAGTGCCTGGCTATTTCGCGTGGTTTCTATGGGGGCTCCAAAAAATTTGGGACATGAGAAGGCCTAAGTGGAGCGTATAAACACGGATCTGTTTGTGGGCGCCACGTACCAACGCCTCATACTGGAGATTGTGACAATCAACTCCAAAATCGTTAAACCAGAGTAAAACAAAAGAGAAAAATGAAAAATATCCCAATCTCTATAAAAAGGCAGGTAGTCATGTAGAGGAATGCAAAAAGTTTGTAAATGGCAAAACATATAAAAAATCAACGTTGAAAAAAAAAAAAACCAGTTCCAGACTGACAGAACCTACCAGCGCTCGTAAAGCTGGATCATCGATTCTAGCCAAGCCAGGGCTTAATAGAAAGAAAAACGCCATTTTTCTTTAAGAGAACATATCTTCTGCCCTCCTACGCCTGCCCCCCCGGCCTTGAAGCTTGTCTGAAAACAGTTCTTTGCCCTCATTGCTACTGTATTTGGAGGGAAACAACTCCCTAACGGAGGCAGCCCCTTTGATAGATATTTCCCGAGAAGAGCCGCGAATCGAGATCCCTTGATCCTCCGAGGCAGCACCACGGATACTGATTCCATTGCTATCAGTTTTTTCTGGGAATAATTCGACCTGGCCTGCTGATCTGCCGGATGCCTCGCCACCTCTGGCGCCATCCACCAATGGAATTGGCATGTGTTTAGAAAACAGATCGGCGGTTTCGTCCGCAGCATCGAACGCATCGGAACGGCGGTGGTTGCTCGCGGCTGTTTTTTTTGGGAAAAGCTCCTTTTTGAGGTAACTGGATGTTGTTTTATTTGGGAATAGTTCGCGGGGCTCAGAGCTGTCATCACTAGCGGCGTATTCGTTGGCCCGGGAAATTAGATCTCTGTTTCGGCTGTTCCTTGGAGAACGGTTTCGGAACGATTTTCGTGCCCGTTCCCGGTTATCCATGATATGACCTTCTTGATCGAATTCCATTTTGAGTGGAGAAGCGCTACGGCCCCGAAGGCGGCCTATAGAGCTAGGACCATCATCGGGGAAGAGCTCACTGCCATCGCGCCTCTCATGTCTCGATCCCTCTCTTCCTCTAGGTTCAATTAATCTGCCTTCCTTTGAGCCGCTCCTTGTTCTACTCCGGCCCCCATCGTCATCGTACATATTATCGGTGAAATTTTCGTCCTTCGCACGGTCCCTTCTTCGTCTATGTTCCTTGTCATCGAATCGTCTTCTTGAGTAATCGCTGCCGCTATCGTCTCGCCGACCATTCCGTCGCCTGTCGGCAAACTCTTTCCTCATTCGCTCTCGGGGATCATGCTCCGGGTGCATAAGGTAGAAACGACTGGACTCATGGGCTCGTTGCCGTTTGCGATCTGTCTTTACAGCTGATCGTACTTGCAGTACCGATTCTGGGTGAGTAGACAGAGATTTCGCAGTTCGGAGTCGCAGTGAAGGTAATGGTGAGGGGTCTTCCTCGGAATTTTGTTGTGAAAATGTACCTAGAGCTTGGAGCCCAACGTCGGTAGAGCTGTACACGATATTCGCAGAGGTGTCGTCGATCCATTCTATCCGGGTGGGCGCCTCTGCCACAAAGTGCTCACTTGCGTACCTCTTCAGGTCTTCTGTTGTCAACTCATCAACCCCCCGAATATGAACCTTCTCAAACTGAGGCTCCTCGTTGAGGTGAGAGCTCGCTTCGATGTTCTCCGTGTTTTCCACTGACCCTGATGGAACTTGCTCCTGTTTTTCAATTTATTTATTAGAAAGTTGTATTGAAAGGAGAGCCACAGGTAGTAGACTAACTGGTTCACCATATTCTGGTTCCGGCAAGGGCCCTAGATCAAGGTCCATGTCGATATCCATGGCCGTATCCATTATGCTGGGATAGGGGTCATTGGTGGGCTGTGGGTGGAGGGTAGAAGCCACCTCCATATCGACAAGGCACAAGGGTTCTTAAACTAAGATGCAACTCTGATGGTTTGCGAAGTCGTAACGATACTGGTTTTAAAATAATTGCCAAAAAAGAAACTGAAGAAATGTGATTTTGGTGGGTGAGATCTTATCATCCTCCTCACCGCGACAAAACAATTCTGTACTGCTTTGGGCGTCCCAAAACAGGCTAGCGTTAAAAGCTTTCTATGGGCGGTTAGTTCCAAACCCTTAATATCATGCTTATGTCATGGTCTCTGCTCAGACAACCTCATTTCTTTGTTGCAAATCATTACTTCCTATATACTATATAGTATTCATTCAAATGTCATTCAAAACGATCATTATCCGGATATTCCCACTGCCATGATCGGGTCTCCTCTTTTGAATGCTCTTTGTTCGTGGGGCTTGATTAGTCTAGTTTTCCAACTATGCGGGCAGCTCTAAATTCCGGAATACGACTAGCTAGAGTAGACTTCATGCCGTCTCCTAGTACTGAGTAGTACTTCTGTTAAATAAGACTACCAACACAGAGAGCGGTTATTGTGTTATGTCTGCATAGCTCTTCAAATGACAGCTAGCTCTGCACTGGCCACTTCTCCAAGTGAACTTTTAATGTTCATTGATCGCCTTGATCAATGCTCGGATTTGAAAACGGACGACGTTCGTTTGCCATTCAATTTTCATCTGTTTCCACTATTGGCATCTATGCTGCTACATTGACCATAAGCTTATTAAACGAAAGACCGGGTACTCCAACCTGACCAACCCGTTATTTAACATGGATAACCATACTGGGCATCGCAAGCTTCTATTTTTCTATCTTTTTATTATTTGTTCGAAGAAAGCAACCCCTTAGCCTTTAGTCTTCCCAACCCACCCGCCTCGCCATTGCTGTAACAACGTAAACGAGACCGAAGAGTACCTGCATCTCAATCAACGGCCCCACACTGGATGCTAGAGTCTGGTTGCTGTTCGGTTCAAATGTCGCAACCGAAACAGCTATGGCAAGCTCAAAATTATTGCTGGCGGCTGTGAAGCTTTGTGTGGAAGAGAGTTTGTAACCAAATCTAAGTTTATAGGTGACAGATAAAGTCGCAAAGAAAAAAGCCACACGACGAAATAGACAATCAAGGGAACCGAGACTCTGACCACTGAAACTATCCGATGAACGACCTGTCGACACTGCAAAGCAAACAGCACCAGGATGGTGAAGAGGAGGCCTAAGAGACCTTGGGCCTATCCACTTCAAGAATGTGCATTCCTACCAAGTCGAATTAACTAGATTCCGCAGGGCAAACCGGGTCACGATCGCAGCTGCAAGTGGGAGCCCAAGGAAGACTGCAACACTTGCGGTGGCAGTTGAATATGATAGCGCGACGTGGGTACCAGAATTGCCGATTATGTTGATGAAAAGAATGGCAAGTGGCGCGAAGAGGACCATTTGAAGCAAGGAATTGATGGCGACTGGAATAGCATAATATTCACCGTCACCTCCAGAAAGCACTGTCCAGATTAAAACCTACAATTGACAATTGACAGGGGATTTGTTAGCTTTTATCCATTTTATCTGTTCCCACTTGGATTGGGTCAGCTCGAGGATTTATCTCTACCCATAATTGCAATACATCTCGCCAAACCCAACAAGAATAAGTCCCTCTCGAAGCTCCGGTTCATCTGACAAGAAATCCCAAGCCAAAGCCAGCTAATAGACGATACGGTACTTTAGCTTATCTGTTTTGTCCGCCACACAAGAGCAATTGCAACGTTTACCATCAATAGCGGGACAACAACCCAATTGGCAAAAACGCTGAAGGCAATCTGGACCCAGGTTTGGCGAGTTTGAAAGAGGTGGTGCAAAGATTCATAGCGCACTTTGTAAAGGATCGGGTACATCATGACCAAAAGACCGACAGCTTCAACCTCGTCAGCAGCTAGCTAAAGGACACGGGAAAGGGAAGGAGAAAA